GTTGAGGTGTGCAAAATTCTGTTTATTTCAATTTATTAAAATACGAATATAATTTATTTTGTTACCAACAGCTAAAAATTTTGCAAAATTGCTGTAATTTTACAAGTTATGATCGTGAATTATAGTGCGTTAAGGATTTAATCTGCTCCGTCTTCTGCATAAGTTTTTATTACAATTGATAGCGAGTTTTATTGTAACTGATAGCGAGTGTTATGTAGCAAAACAGTATTACGTAATTTAAAAATTAATTTTAAACCCGTATTTAAAATAAAACGAAAAATTAATAATGAATATTTTAATTATTAAATATAATATTTTAATAATAATATTTTAATTCATTAAAATTTGATTCCACGGCCTTACCATAATGAAAATATCCGTTCTCGTCAGATCACTCAAGTCAAGTATCATTGGGCGGGGTCAGTACTTGGAAGGGTGACCACCTAGGAACACAGAGTGCCGTTGGCATAGCTTTTGAGCCGACCAAACTGTGTTGTGGTCAGGGGGAAGAACTCACATCAGAAAGGTCCTGGATTCAAATTCCGGACAAGGCATGCATGTTTTTTCATTCTCTGCACTACCTGTCCTAAGTAAGGAAGCAAGATTGGCCCACCTAATATTGAGATGCCCTTGAAAAAGTGGCCATAAAATCTGCCCTACTGATACCTAAAAGTACGAGCGTCAATCCAGGACTACCAGCTACTACTCTTTTTGCAAAATATTTAATTCAGTGGTAGACAATTAAAAACTAAAGCTTATAGAATTTTCGGTTATTTTGCCAACATATTAAGAGTCTTAAAACGTGAGAGTTGGAACAAAGTGGCTTTTAATATAAGTTTTCGAAACATTTACAAATAGTAATGTGAAAAATAACTTTTAAATCAAATTTTTAGGTGGGTAGGTACTTTATTTACGTTGCACTAGAGCTGCACAATGGGTTATTGGGGACGGTTTGCGAAACATTCCTGAGGATGATCCGAAGACTTGCCATCACACTTTTAATTCTCTGCAGAGGGGGTGGCTTCCCTGCTTCGGTAACCCATCGACCTGAGCTCGAAGTCGAACACTTACGGTAAAACAGTTTAAGGAGAACCATTACCGCTTACCCTCGGTCCCTACGCAGGTTGATCAAAGTGGTCCCCTACCCGCACACTGACCGCAGCCGAAATCAAATTTATAAGAGTAAAAATAATACATTAAATCACCAACTTGGCTACCACTAGAAGAAATTTTTCCAAAAAGCGTAGAAAGTTAGCTTCCCTGCCAATCGGGTGAAAAAAAAACAACATTCGGAACAACATTAGTTAATCAGTCATTTTTTTTTATTAGTATTTATCGTTAGATACTAAATGCATTGTTATAACTACCCAACTAAAAAGTTTTTTTTCTCTTTTTTGCCGGTGTTCATCTTATAATTTTCGATTTTCTTTTTTTTCCCCTAATTTTTTAAATTTTTTTATTGAGGGTTTTATGAGCTCACCGAATTGTCAACATGGCCATCGATCTTTCTTGGCTACGATAACCAGCGCATCGAAGCAGATTAATTCACGTCAGAATGACTTCCATTGGCGATTGAAATGGGTTCCAGGTCGCGTAGAGTAGAACTCTCTACCTATGGCAATACTTTACATGACTGTGGAGAGTCATAGAAGAAGGAAGTGCAATAGTTTCGATCTTGATTTTGTACTAAATAAAAATCTTTTAATTTAGGAAACTTCATGGAACTGAAAGTCGTATTAAAAATATTTAACTTTAGTTCTAAAAGAAAGCGTCATGGAAATTTAAAAAAAAGTTTTTAGCAATTAAATATAAAAATATTAAGGAAAGGAAAAATATCGTAGCACATTCCTATATAACTGAAAAGAGGTGTAGAGGAAAGGAGAAGGGTCAAAGGCATAGAACCGGTTACTCCCCAGATGACGTATTCGAGCGTTGCGATCTCGAATACTCATTATCTTCCTTTTCATTAGCAGGCGAACTTTTCTTGACTGGTTCGATCACACTTCTTCATCAAGATTTTTTCCATGTCAACTACATCTTTCTCTTAACCCTCTTGAACCTTACTGTAGCCACTCATTGAAGTACACTAAACTTATATTAAATGTTCGATAACGATTCACAATTAATAAATTGAAAAAAGAATTAAACTCTTGTAACATTTATCTTAATTACATGTCATCTGGCATTAATTACTTACATAAAAAATATAATTATCACATAGTTTAAAAAATCAAATTAATATTAGATTAAATCAGCTGCTCCATCCACAGTGATTCTCCAACGCATTCAACAAAAGCTTTTATATCGAAAGTTTATTGTTTTCGATTATTGTTGCGTCCTCTCATATCAGAGATCGACACTTAAGATATTTAAAATAAATAAATATTACAAAACAAAAACTAGTTTATAATTTTTAAAAAAAACCAGCAGTTTTTGTAACTTATTTAACTATGATTGAGTGACATTGTTAAGTGTGGTCAATTATCTGTCAAGTAGTAATTTCAATCTTCCTGTCCGATTGATTCGCAAACTGATTCATGTATATTTGTAGTCGTCCAATAATGATATTTAGGTTTTCATAGGTCAAATAAGATACTTTTTAACTAATTAGAAGATTTATATAAATCTATTGGGTGCTTGCACTTCAAGAAGACAGAGATCACAGATAATCACACATGTGACCAATCAGGTCAGCGCCAGATGATCGTTTAAAAGCAAATTAGTATGTTAAAGTAAAGTATAGGTTGGAATATTATTCGATTAGAATTTAATTAAATACAACATTGTTTCGCACATCGAATTTATTGAAATATAATCCTTTCTCCTCTACGCATTGACTAAGATTTACTATTTCAGGGATGGCGAACCAGTGGCACGCGACACACGAACCAGTGGCACTTATGGCACGCGACACAATATTTTGGGCACGCCACCGATCACAAAGTTTACTATGAAGCATATTAACTATTCAATTAAAATTCACTCAAAAAAGAACAATTAATGCCGAAAAAGCAATTAATAACCACAAAAAAACAAGCGAACAATAAATAACTAGCAAAAAAAATTAACAGTTCTGCTTAAACTAACATCTTATAACCCTAATATAAATTATTTGTCATCTAATCTGCAACAACAGAAGTCACACTGATGTAACTTTAAGTTGAATTACGTGTATAACTGAGACATTGCAAAAGTTGAGAATTGCATTTTTTCGTAATAAATAGTTTTGAGTTGATAGTATTTAGTATTATTATTTGCCCAATAATCACGAAGTCAAAACTATTTGTCGGCACGTCTATGACTTCAGTAAAATATATTTTAGAAAAAATGGCACGTTGGTGCATGAAGGTTCGCCACCCCTGTACTATTTGCTTTCGCATTTTATTTGTAACCGTGATATGTTTTTGTTTTGTGAACCCGGTAGTTTCTACGTACAATTAATATGTTTGTGTTCTACATAGCTCAGTGTCTTTCTTTGTATAAAGAAAGAAATAAAATATTTATGAAAGAATGCAGAATGTGTGATTTAACAGAATTGATACTTGATGGGCTTGGCTTACTCAAAATGGAATGGACAGAACAGATGCTAACGTAAACAAAAGCTTCGTTTCAACAACCAATCAGGATCAAGATACCCACACTACGTCACTGTATAAAATAATTTCATAGGATTTAACTTCTGTTCACTTCAACTTTGTTAAACCTAATTCCGATGTCATATTGATATTCTCTCTGTGGTATTCGTACGTTAGGTTAACAAACAACTATTTGTTTCTTTAAAAAAAATATTACATAAATGCATCTTAAATTTATGATTCTTGCTTTATTCAGTATCGTTAAATTATCTTTACTGATTCTGGCGACTATCCCCCAACTATAATTATAAATTTTAACCCTTTGCACTCGAGAGGTAACTGACAGTCATCACTGTCACCTATAAATTACCCACCACTCTAAATGTGAAATTTTTTTCACCTTAATGTTTAGTTACCACTTCATCCAGTGATCTCCGGGTATTATGAGGTAAGTCTTTAAAAAATCTTTCAAAATGTTAGTGTTTGCATCCATTTTTTAACAGCTGGAAGAACTTCAAGTGCACAACAATATTTTTTAGATTGCGGCTCTCGCTAATACTCGTATTTTGAGTTTTAAAAATTCAATTGCGTTGATAAACGGTCTGAATCTATTGAGAGAAAAAATTGTGTCTGGTTTTTTAACATTAAGTATTATCTGTGTTAATCAGTTTTCCTATTTAGGATTACACGCTAAAATTATTGAGTTCGTTTGATTAAATTGTTTGACCAAGATGTTTTATTTGTCCCTCTCGGTCGCTGTGGTTTTTATCTTTCTGTTTTTCATCTTTTTTTTTTCCTTCCTGCATTGGACCCATCGTAAAGTCACGGTTCCCAGTAGATTACCGAAGTCAAGTATCACTGGCTCAGTAAGCGGGTAGGTGACCACTTTGATCAGCGAGGAGAATGAGGGTGTTCCGTTCTCGTCTATCTGTTCTACTCGAGCTCAGATCATCCGGTGACCAAATCAGGGGAGCTATCCCCTTTGCTGAGTATCAAAATTGCGATGGGTTTTCTTTGAACCATCCTCAGGGATGTTTCGCTGACCGTCGCCAATAGCCTATTGTGCAGCTCCAGTTGACGTAAATAACGTCTAGTTGACGTATCTACCTTACTACCTGCCTCATCTTTTTTCTTCACTCAGCAACTGTTTTTTTTTATCCACCATTATTTTTTTATTTTTTCGTTTGCAACTTTACGTTTTATATTTCAAATCACTTTTGTTTCTCCTCATTCACGTCTGGCAAGTCTATAAAATGGGTGCCCTTTTTTGAGCGACTGTCCTTTTCATACTTTTGTGACGTGATTAAATTTTTTAATCAGGTAACGCAAGCTGATACGTTTCAAAAAGTTTAATTTTTCTGCGACGGTGAGAATGTCAGTTATTTAATTTTCTTATCATACATTAAAAAATAAAAGCAAACAAAATTTTAAAATTTCTTAATTTTATGCAATTTTTGAACAATGAAAGAAACTACTGAATTAGTAATACAAGATAAATAGCTGAATTTTAAACTATAGAAAAGTTATGAAAAACCAAATATATAATATTTGATTTTTCTATGGCAACGCAAATCATTTGCGAATATATTATTTGTCAGAAATAAGATGACATTTCCAATGAAATAATTCATTGCTAAAATTAACAGAGGGAAAAGCTAAGTTGACGATAACTCTTTTTCATCTGTGTCTTTCATCACTTCAGTATTCATCTGTGGCTCGTAACTGGGACTCCATGGCTGCAAATCTGCTTTGCAAAGGATATTGTATATTGTACCAGATATTATTAAAATAACTGCTGTAGTCACATAAACAATACCCCAATTTTGTAAAGTATTCTGAAAAAAATGTACAAGAAAATAAATATTAAAATTATTATCAAAATCTATTTCAGATAGTTTTTCTTTATTAAATTTTTGCAAAATCAACTGTACACATAATCCATAATAATAAAACGAAAAATTTTAAAAATTATCTCTCTGAATCGCTCTGGAAACCGATTGCAAAAAATTTAAAAGAGTTTAGAGAAAAAGTCATAACAAGTTACGAAAGACGTAATGAGAAAGTTTTAACTTATAAAAAAAGTAAATAATTTCCCTGAAAATAAAAATAAAACATAGTTTTAGAGAGAAGAAGGAATCAAAAGAATAAATAGTAAATATTTAAGTTATCTTCAAGAATACGAAATTATTGATCAATAAAAAGTGTTATTTAATATTAGAAACTCCATATTTCTACAATAAGCGTTTCGGTGACCAGAGAATTGCAGTCACCAAGATGGCGGCGTATCGCTTCATATTCAATTCAGGTTTTTAGGCATAACTAGTCACATCCTTAATCTGAGTTCGTTTAATAATTAAAGTTACAAATCGAAAAATCTTATACTAAAAACCTTATATGTTAGTCTTCTTTTTTCAACTCAATTACTTTTAAATAAAGCAACACTGCCATAAACGAAAGGGAAAAAAAAAACGAAATTTTTAATCAAATTGATTTAGAAACAGATATAGTCAAAGATATAGTAAAAAAATATATAGCTCACCCCCGAATGTATGATGAACCCTACAAAAGCTGGGGCTAAGAATCCAGGAAGATTTGCTATACAGTTTGTGATGCCCATCAATGTACCTAAAACATCAAAGAAAATGTTATTTAACATTTTATTGACTATTATTAATTATATTATTGTAATTTATATAATTAATAAAGCATATTAACTGCATAAGATATTATTAATTTTATTAACTTTTATTATTTATGCTATTTGCTTTTCCCTATCTTTTTGCTAACACGGAAGCAAGACATAGGAAACAAAATGATACAAAAAAAAATAAAAAAAAAAAATCGTGAAAATGAGATGAAAATCAGTTCTTAATATGACGTAAAAACAGGGTGCACAGAACACAATATGAAGTCAAAAACAGGTTACGAGTAGCATGCGACATTTTTTTAGGGATGCCAACTGCTTAACACGTTCACGCCGGGGTGACCCACCGGTGGGTCACGCTAGATTGTCTCATCTTGGCAGCGCACCGGAGTAAAAACTGGTAATAATAAATTTCATTTTATAGTTTTTTTCCGGGAATAATAAAAATCCATAACTATCAATTGTTTTTAACGGATATTTTTATATTGAATTGCTTCGTCGCCGTGATAAATTTCCTAACAGTGAATTGTTACTGTTGAGAATAGATTAACTCCTCCTGAATATTATCTATTATTGAAATAGTTCTTCTACCAGTATTTTCTCTTTTCCCGTACCAGTATTTTCACTTTTCCCGGAGTGAACGTGTTAAGCTTTTAATAAACGTTAGAGAACTATAATGTTAGCATATTTTTCTTTAATTTAGTCAAAGGTTTGATTCCTTCCAATCCACAGTGTAGCCAGTACGGCACCGCTTCAGCCGAATCACTAAGAATGCTTTGAAATGTTTTGCAACCTCTATTCTTCAAACATGCCACTCTGACTAAAATTTTCAATCGAAATTTGCTGTTCTGTTAAAGGTATAAAGGCTTATCAAGAATTTACTGTTACGAATTGGCGTTTCATAAGAGCCTTTGAATTATTTAAAAGTAGTGACGGGTAAAAACACCATAAACCGAATTTACTAATCCTAATTCACTAAATATACGAAAAACATAAATTCTGCTACAACTTGAGCCTTGTAAATTTGAACCCAATCCAGAAAACAAGGGAACTCCTGGATCAGGCATAGGGAGAAATCCTGGCTCTGGTATATTGGAAGAAATTTGCCTTTATGGAGAACTTTTTGATGGAACTAACCCGCATTTGCGTTACATGAAAAGGAAAACTATAAGAATCTCCCACGGTTAGCCTGACGTCAAAGGGACTCTAAACCCATGATCCGTCTACCACTGAGGATATTTTACGTCAGCTCTGTGGTCGGTGCAAGCTAGATGCGGGTTTGTATCGACCAGCCATTGCCTGGATTCGAACCCGTTTCATCTCATTGGAAGACGAACTCTTTCCTCATGTTCTTTGCCTCATGCAGTAATAAAATTTTTTTTTCAATTTATAAAAAAAGAAAATGGCTAGTTATTAGCTCTTAAACTACGTTGATAATTAAAAATACGTCTACCTGTTTTGTTATAAAAAATATTGCAAAATCCTGATTTCAAAGCAAAATTATTTCGGTTTTTGAAAATTTTTTTATGGAGTCGAACATAATTAAAAACTAAAGCTCTTAGGTAAGCATGGTAAGCTTAGCTTAGTAATTTTGCCAACATTTTTATTAAAGCGATCCCAACCGATCCGGATTCGTCAAACATTGTAAAAAACTGAAGAGAACTTAAGTTTGCAGATTTTTGGTTATGTTTGATAACTGCAACGTTTTTTGTAAAATATCTTATAGAGTGGTAGGTATTTTAAAATAAAAGCTTTCAGATTTTTTTGTCAATTTTGCCAACATTTTAAAAATTTCGCCATGAAACAGCTGGAACAAAGTGGCATTACATAGCGGAGGGGAGAAAGTTTATTTAATAAAAAATAATACATTAAAACTTTAACTTAGATATCACTAGAATAAATTTTTACAAAAAGTGGTGAAAGTTGGTGCTTCACATAAGCCATTGAATCATTCAGAAGTTGTGGTGCGTAAAGAGCCTCAAAATCGAATTTGCTAAACCAAGAATCCTACATAATACAACTACCAGTCGGAAAATTTCTTTCACGCTGTTCGGAGCAAGTTGGCATTTCTAAAGCGGCGTTTAAAAAGATTTTTGTATCATAATGTAGTTGTATGGAAAATGATTTTGAATTATATTTTTAGAAATGAACGAATCTTACATTAAAACATAAACTACTACTAGGAGAAATTTTTCTACTAGTAGTAGTTACTACTCTATTTCTGGGCGAAAAAGTTGGCCCCTTCTTTGAAGAAAACGAACGTTTTAGTTTCAGTGAAATAAATTTAAAAAATGAACTGAGTTTCCCTTTGAAAACGTTCACGAGGGAGAACTTAGGTGGTTTAGTGAATTTACAAATTTCTCTTATTTTTCATTTAAAAGGATATTTCCTTTTTGTTCAAAAACGAAAAAAAATTTTAGTGCAAAGATTTTATTAATTGGAATAAATAGTTCTAAATTAAAATATTAATGTGCAGTTGAATAAAACAGGGTCTCTAACATTGTTTTTCGAATCTCTGTCACCAAAGAAAATAAAAAGCCACTGTTTTAGCGCCTCACAATTGAAGAAATATGCGATGATTTTAAACTATATATATCATCTTAACGTGAAGAATGATCCTGGCTTTATAATGGATAAATAATTTAAATATTTTAGAAGTTATTAAACCGCTTTAAAAGTCGCCGATTCGGCGACAATTTTTCAACTAGATTAAAAATATCAAAGTCACTGTCTTATTCTCAGTTTTTTTTTTCTGAATTTTTATGAGTCCACGTAATGCAGCATTGGAATAAGTTTATAACTATTTAAAAGTTAGACAACGCTTTTCATTTTCTACAAAACTGTAGCTTTTTTTCATGTTGACGTTTCGCACCATTTTCAAAATATGCATAAGCAGCGTTGGTTTTAAATCGGCTAAATTTAACCGAACAGTCACGAGTAACAGTTACAGGATCACAGCAGTTATAAAAATAGCATATTATTTGCAAAAAAAGCATCTTTTCATATGACGACGGAAACTTCGATAAAACAGCCCTAAAGTTATAGTGTTTCGCTTAAGGAAAAGCGTGAACAAAATAACTTAAAAATTTTTTTACAGTAAATTAATACTTTAGCTTCAAGAATAAAAATTATTTAATCTAAAAAAAAAACAATACTTTGGAAAGTAAAATAATAATTTTTTTAGTTGTATGCTGAAAATCGGTAGCATATCCACTGCCTGCCAAATGTAGGTGGTTATACTATATGAATTATAGCAGAATTATAATTTATAAAGATTAAATCAAAGTTAAATTTTTTATTTGATCTATCAGGACATAACATAATTAAACATTATGTTATTGTCATGAGAAAATGTGTTATTGTCATGTCATATTTTCTTCAATTCTAGTTGAATATGCATCTTTTTACCACTTGAATTGTTTAAGTAACACAAATAGTAGGAAAGAATTTCGTCATCTTATATCGCGTCAGTCAAAGATCATGTAATTCACCATCAAGATGTGTAAAGTGCGCCGCCAAACACCGATCATACGAGTGCCAAAAAGATAAAAATACACAACCTAAGTGCAGCAATTGCGGAGACTCTCATACAGCCAACTACACGGGGTGCAGAGCCCGTCCCCGCAGGAGGGGAACACGTGCCATACCACCAACAATAACAGGACTTGCTCAAAGGCTGGTTACAATAATTAAAGAATTGCAAGAACTTTTAAAAAATCAAGAAGTGCTTCAACTGTTTCAAAGGATTATGGGGGAAGCCACTCTTGCACAGTAACCTTTTTTTTTTTTACTTGATTTGAACTTTTATTTGAACTCTTATTATTATTCAGAACTCTAATTTTCCATACAGATTATAAATAAATACTGCATACTGCCCTTTCAAATTAAAGTTGAGCATACTAGATGGCGCCACTAAGGCCTGTCGAAAATTTATGTTAAATCTTCACGTTCTTGAATCACGACTTTTGTATATACATAATCATCATTTATTAATTCTCATATTCAATTTTCTGTACATATTTATGGCAATTAATGTAAATATCTTTGTTCAAGTTGTAATTTTTTCAAATCAACGTTATATTTTCTGTACATATTTTCATGGCAATTACTGTAAATATCTCAGTTCAAGTTTGTATTTTCTCTAATCATGGTAATATTATTGTAAAGCTACCACAACGACTGCTTATATTCAAAATGTTTTTACCTCATTGTTGTAGTTTCACGATGAATGGGATAGGGGCCGCTGCGCGGCCCAGGTGCCCAGTTGTTTTTAAATAAAGTAAAGTAAATCTTATATCGCGTGATCGGCAACGAAAGCGTTAACCCACCGGACGAACTTGTCGTAGTGGATTAGACGCAGAGGAGAGAAAAATTCTCTGAGAATCAGAAGACATAAATAAAACTGCATGAACTAAACTTACCAGCGAATTCTGGACTCATGTCTATGTGGGTAGCATTGAACCCAGAGTAAATGCAACCATAGGAACCCATTGCTATTGAAAATAAGATGACTATTATGATTGGATGGCATCCACTGAAAGCGATAGCTATCATGCATATCGCAGGTGCATACGAACCTGAAAAGCATGTTTTAATTCAATTGTGATAAGAAATGTGTTATACAATCAAACTAACTTAACAGGACGTCATTCAGCGGAAGATAATTTTCATCGCAAATTCTCTTTCACAGATATTATTAATTTGAAATTTAAAAGAAACAGAAAGTAAGTTCAGGCAAACTTAGAGTAAAAGTCATGAAGTTTCAATTGCTGAAAAAATACCTCGAAATATTAAAATGCAAAAAAATTATTAGAAGATCTCCGTTGCGTAAGTTCTTTTTATTTTCATTTATATATTTTCATACTTTCTTTTCAGTATTTGAAACTTCATTGCTTATCTTCATGGCTCACTCTTTCTACGCTTTAAATTATAAATTAATAATGAAGGAAAAGGAGAATTTGGGAGGAAAATTCTTTTCCGTGGTATGGCGTCTTGTACAGTGTGCAAAAAGAGGAAGAAAAAAGCAGACATCTTTGAATAACTTTTGATCTAACAATCGGATATTCCCGACATAGGACTCAATCTTAATGGTTCAAGGAGATGACCTCAAAAATGCTACCCCCTATAGTTTGGGGTACAGAACTCCGAATTAATCACAAAAAAAGGCATGTTTATATAGAAAAAGTACGTTTTTGTGTCTTATTTCGTCACTTAAGGTATCGTTTGCGCTAATTAATTACTTTATTTTATAACTGCCGAACCAATTTTCGGGTGTGCGACTACTAATGTTCAACTCGGTAGCATAGTAATTTTGAACCCAATCCAGAAGACAAGGGAACTCCTGGATCAAGTATGTTGGGAGAAATTTGTTTTCGTGGAAGAATTTTTCATGGAACTATTCCACATTTGCGTTACATGGAGAGGAAAAAAAAGTATATAATTACTACCACTTTAAATAGGAAAATAAAATCTTCTGGAAAATCCGGAAGAGTAGGCAGGTATGGGGTAGAGGCAAGCCAGACGCGGAATTCGTATGGACCAAAAATCGCTCCACGTTGGAGGTAACGTTCTTGATCGACGATACAATCTTGCATTAGTAAGGGCACATGTATCAACCAATCTGCACGAGACCGGGATACTGATAATAGAATTAACAAAGAGTATTGGTATTCATAGTCCTACGTTATTTATCTAATACTTTAAAAGTAGTATTTGAAGAAACAAGTGGTAGCATTTTATCTGTGAAAATAATGGTTTTTTTAAAATTTATTTTTAAGAATAATGAGCTTAATAGAAATATAATAATAATAGCCGTTTAATAGTAAAATTAGGAAAGTGGTAGCAAATATATCTTCAAAAGTTTTTTTAATTTATGAATATGACTGGTTTGTGTTACTTAATTGTCGACCACCACAAATGCAATTCTCAAATATATGAGGTAAATTTATCTCAATAACTTATGGTAAAAAAAAAAAAATTGGGTTTACGCGCACAGCTGGTTTACTTTTTAAATAGTCTGCGCAAACTACTTATAAAAAACCGTGTGGAAGATTTCTGATGTAAGAGGACCTAAGTACATACTTGTTCCAAGTCGGTACGTGCTCCTCATTGATGTTGATCAAAGACTAATTTTTGGTTAGTTGATATGACCCCTTTTTTGAAAATGTTGAAAAAATAAAACAGAATTCTGTTTTATTTTTCAGGCAGCACTTGATTTATTTCTAAAGTTTTCTTAATGATTTTGAAATTTATATGTTACTTTGATGTGGCTGTTCTAACTGTAACTTTATCTTTATTTATTTTTCTTATTTTGTGTACTTTTAAGTCATTATTAAGAGTTACTTTGTGATTGTTTGTCATTTATTTATCTTTGCATTTACATTTCAATTTTTCTAATTGCTTTCTCTTATTTGACTCTCCATTATGGGGCCTCGGGGGTCACTGTCAGTTTTTGATTTCACCACTGACAACAGATAGGCTCCTGTGTGTTAGCAGGCAGTGTGTCCCCTGATGAAGTACTGTCCTACTAACACACGTATCTTAAATATTTCATGGTTTTTGCTTTCTGCAGGAGTTGTTTTTCTGACTTTTTAAATTAAATGGCTGACTAAGATTTCTCAAAGCGATTGAAATATACTTATATTGAGTTTTGATTTGAAAATCACGAAATTATTCGAGATGTATTTTTCCTCCTATACTCCTCATATACAATGATTTCTTAATTTCCTTTAAATTAAGAAATCATTGGAATCTTTAATCCTCTACATTTTTTCTCAATTTTTACACCACTTTCCCTGATTATTTCTTGCTACTAAAAATTGCTTGCTTTTAGACATAAACTTCTTAGCTTTCGAAATACATAGGGATCAGTATAAATTTCTTACCGATAGAATTGACAATTTTGCGCAGGAAAGTAATCTGCATACGTCCTGTAGAACGAAGTTTATCAACAATAAAACTAACAGCGAGAGCTACGATCAATTGAATTAAGTTGGGAAGAGCTGATAACACACCATTCTATAAAATGAAAAATACAACTAATAAACATTATTAATAATCAAAACAGATTTAATGAAAGCACAGGTATCATTATCAAATTTAAAGTTTTGGAAAGGAAAAATACTGAGATCTTGCAATAATAAGTATTCATTCTTGTCATATTTAAACTTTTTTAAGAGGTAATAAAGTTAAAACTAAATTACAGTCAAATACTAAAATACAATCTTTATGTAAGAGTTTACTACCACTTTAGTTATAAAAATAAAATTTTAAGGAAAGATATGAAATTTTTTAAATTAATTGTTACAGTAAAGCAGCAGTCTAAAATCAATTTGACTATCATAAAACATTGATGTTATTTAACCCCTAGGGCACGGTTGATTCAGAAAAGCATTCGTACAAAATCAGAATCAAGTTGTAATTAATTAAGAAACTGTAACTTAGATGTAGTCGTTGCTAATTTGACAGACTTACTTTGCTTTTACTTTAATTATTGTTAGTTGAATCATGTATATATAATCAATGTTAATTCAAAGTATGACTAAATAGTTTTATTTTGAACAAAGTAATGGTGAATTAAATAAATCAAACAATTATAACTCCGCCCACAAATAAACTCCTAAAGAATTACTCCGATTACCGGTTTTATCTTTTCACCCTGATTGATACGGTTTTGTGCTGGGACGTATTTGTGACAGTCGGTGCGTAAGGGTTAAAGGTAAATGATGAATTTTGTTGAAAACGCAGTATAAAAGTATATTTAGATATTGAGGGAAAGGTTCTTTATTGAATGATTCTTCATGAACTTACAATATTACATTATAATCGTATTGGAGAACACGATTTATTCTTTCTCAAGATTGCTAGTAATACAAAAATAAACAAATGACGCAAGTATAAATAATATAAATTAGCACATAACATGTTTTAAAATGTTAAGTTTAATCATTAGTTACACATTAGAGTAAACATATAAAGTATATACGGAAAGAGACAACAAAACATCGACACATTATTTTCTAGCATTTCCCATAAATAATATTCCTTTCATTCTGTGCCTCACAATGTTAAAAGGCATGTTTCTTATATTTGAAGAGACCTAACTTTAACAATGCAAATGTACTTGAGCAAAGTACTAATTTATAGTTCCTTAACAAAGACAGGAATGCATACCTGCCAACTTTTAATCCTTTCGATGATCATTTTCCCCAGTGGTAGTAAAATGGAATTAAAATTAAAATTCTAGGTAGAAACATGCACTGTATTTTGATAAAGTTTGCGAAGGACTCTAACACAGTATTACACATTTATATATGTGTTTAATATTTTTAAAAGCAGTGGTAGTGAAAAGGATTATAAATTAAGTTTATAAATGCAAGAAATATATAAAAAGCATACATTTTACTAACAGCAATATCACAAACTTTAAAACGAAATGTTAGACACCTGCAAGTTTCACCTCTTCGTCGCTTGGAAACTAAACCGTGGTAACTCGAAAAAGCAAGTTTTTCAGGAGAGCGATTTCAAACTTTCCGCATTAATGCTAATCGCGGTATTGCGATAACGATTTAGCTGCTCTCTAAATTAATATTATGAAGATAACACGTTGTTTCTCTAAAAGGGTGATTTTTTTTACACAAAATGACCCAAATATCTCATTTTTCGATTTTTTTTAAGTTACTACGGTTTAGTTTCAAAGCGATGTCTTGTAGAATAATTTCTTAACAGTCTTCTAAGCCTATGTCACTTTTTGTGTGACAGTGCTTCTACTTGAAAACACGTTAAAATGAATACTATTCAGAATTAGGGTATTCTTTTGCACCTATATAGAAAACATTTAGTTTTTATTTTACATTGCAAAAGATGAATGTCATGACGAAGTAGTGACGTTGAAACTCAGAGGACTTTTCTTTTATTCAAATGTATATCCTTGTAATGTAGGTTTTTTTTTAAGAAGAAATTCATCCGCAAGTTTTACTGTGAAAAGAGACAGTGATTTCGCTGCACTTGTTTAGGTGTGTTTTGTAATTAAAGCACCATACTTTTCTTTCTTACTAACTAACTAACTAATAAACTTTTTTCAGAGTACCTATCCATGTATGGATATCTGCTCTTTCATCTAAATTGGATAATATGTGGTGGAAGGGAAGGGAGGTGCTGCGTTAACATTAAGTTATATCTCAGGATGAACAATAATTGATAAAATCAAGTCTGAGTCATACATAAAAATAAGTCGCAAGTTGATACATAATAAAGGGAACAAATTGAAGATAAGATAAAGAAAGAATATTTACACTATTTACAAATTTACAAAAGGGGGAGGACTCCCTGTGCACTCTCTCGCCTCCCACCGGTGTAGCCGGGCTTCATTGGTGCAGAGAACACAGTTTGTCTAGGGCAGTGGGGATAGTCATGATTATCCGAAATGCTTAGAGAGAACACAGTCGCTTAAGAAAAAAGCGGTTATGGGGCTGAAATTTTTATTGTCATCTATGAAATCAATGTCTAATAACTTATTGAATTTACATGTTGAACAATTTTTGGCACCTTTAAAAAAGGATGCATTGAGTTTAAAAAGGTACTCGTCTATTTTGTCGATTTTGAGGTCATTATAGATGGTGTTATTTCTGACAAACCAGGGAGCCCCAGTGATTCGTCTTAGGGTTTTGTGTTCGAAGACTCTGAGTCTCTTTCTTTGTGTATTTGTAAGCGTCCCCCATTCTTTCTTAGATCTTCCTCCCTCCATTTGATAGTAAACAGTTTTAATGCGTAGTGGTGGAATGAAACTATTATACTAAAAATGACTTAAATATTTTGTTCCTGGCAAAAAATATTTTTTTAAAAATTCGAAATATATAAGCGCACACACACATGGCATTACAGATATATATTAAAAGTATTATTATTAAAACACTAGTAAACAGGGAGCTAATGCTACCGTAAATTAAACAAATGTCGATAATTTAATTTCTGTGTAAAGAAAGTATATACGAGAAATTTTCTCCTTGTAAACCACTTAACTACAAGGTAGTACATTAAAATACGAAATACTTTCTAGCATAAACTTTAATTTGCTAAAACTACTAGGATTTTTTAAGGACAGCGGGAACCTTGGTAGGGTATTTAGGGTTATATAAATTTACCCATTAAAATTTTGTCAATAAAAGTAGCCTTTGTAATGAAAAGTTTATTTCTTCCTAATACTATTTTAGCTTCTAAAAAGCACTCTTAGTTCAAAATAGGAATATTTATGTTATTGGTAAATTACAGGAAAAAGCGTTATAGTGCTTCTACAAAATAATGAAAACCTTATGCTACCACTTCTTCCTTTTTGAGAGAAGTAATCTTCTTTAAAAGGAAGCTAGAAATAATGAGAAAAATTTTCTAGCGTTGGACCTAGAAAATCCTATCACTTGAATGCGAACCTATCATATGAATATGAATCCTATCACTTGAATGTGAACCTATCATATGAATATGAAACCTATCACTTGAATGTGAACCTCCATAGCATAATTTCAGAACAAAATATAGACATTATCAGGGTGGTCACGGTCTGGAAAAGTTTAAGAAGTGGTGACAACTGTTTCACGAGGTTGTCGTAAATTTTAAAGGTTTCATTTCACGTCGAATTTGAGAATTCAGTTAATAAGCTGTAATATATATTCACGACTGCCATCTTTAGACGTTTTTGTAAGAATTCATTCTAGTGGTAGCTAAGTTTATGTTTTAATGTATTATTTTATATTCATTTAGCTTTTTTTTCTACACCACTGTACATAAATAATTTAAAAGCTCATCTGCAACTCCACTTTGTTCTAATCTTTCCTTGTAAGACTTTTAAATTGTTGGCAAAATTACTAAAAAAAATTTGAGAGATATGGTTTTTAAATGTCTACCACTCTATTAAATATTTCGCAAAAAGCAAGCGCTGAATTTGGCTGGCCAGTATATATTTCATACCTGCCAACTTTTAATCCCTTCTATTATCATTTTTCCCAGTGGTATTAAAATGGAATTAAAACTTCAATTTTAAGCAAACAAATACGTTGTATTTGAGAAAATTTAAATTGACAACCATGCTAGTAACGCTTATTAATATCTGTGCTTAATTTTTGTAAGAATAGTGGTGATCAATATCATTTAAAAATTGAAATTATAAAAGAAAAAATAGTATATAATTACTACCACTTTAAATATGAAAATAAACTCTTCCGGAAAGTCCGGAAGAGTTGGCAGTACTTCATTTACAAATGTTTTTGTTCTATAGTCAAAACATTTTGATTTACCTGATTTCATGGAACTACCTCACAATTTATAACGAGAGCAGAAAATAGTACAGAAGTAAGCTGAAAAGAATAAATCGAACAGTAAAAGATTATAAATTCCTAAGTTCATGTACTTACTTCTTTTATATCAAAATGCAAGATATTGGATAGATAGAGTGGGGTTTCATTCAGTAAAGTGTAAAAACCCCAATTCATGCCAAAGTGAGTCAGAATCAGTCCCCACATTGGAGAAGATGTCATGATGGCTTTCCAAGGAATTGGAGCTCTCTACAAGGATTATACAATGTTATTTACAAATATGGACCCAATTTGATGAGTTTATATTTAAACAGTAAAATCTAATCGCCCCCTGTTCCACAGTAAAAGGGTCGCAAACACGTTGAATGCCACGCTACTTTTACATGGCTTGCCCGTCTGGCCAAACGGTAAATAACTACAAACAAAAATTGAAAATATTCGACAGATTTTGCTAGTTTTTAAAAAGGTTTAGCATAACATATCAGAAAAAAGGGGTAAATCATATATTCCTAATAATTTATTAGAGGATATCAATAAGGGACTATGTTACGTCCTTTAACATAGTCCCTTAAGAGCTTGTCAGCATAAGACGGGCCGTTAATGGTCCAATCAGATCTAGTGTGCTTGCAACGTCAAGTAAGTATTTATCTTTTAAGAACGAATGCTTTCCTTGTTTGTCGAAATGTGTCGCTAAGTCCAGGATTCCAGTAAGACTACGAAACTATATCCTTATTTTAATAATTCTATGATATACATCATGAAAGATAACACTGAAAAAATTTCTGTTTGACGTCGTGCCTAACTTTTAAAAGCTTTTATATAGTTTTGAATGCATATTTGTTTAACTTGATATAAAAAAAATGAAAAAAAAAGAAGAAAAAAAACGGAACTATATATGTAATTTGAGGAGGATCACTTAAATCCTAAATTGCAATCGTCTTTTCATATCTTGTAAGGGAGTAAAATATATTTATCTCCTTCATAGTTTCTGGAACTGTAAAATATCATTAGTTTGCTGTATTGCATTTTAGAGCTTTACAAAAAAATTTCTATTTTAAGATCAATCAGGAGGTTTTTGTTTCATACAAAATAAAAACTTTTTTAACACGTTAAATGCCACGCTACTTTTACATGGCTTGCCCGTTTGGCCAAACGGTAATTAACTCCAAACTAAATTTGCAAAATAGTCAGATTTTTTTAGTTTTTTAACAGATTTAACGTAATATATATATAAAAATATTTGGTGAATTATATATGTCTACGAATTGTTTAAAAATAGTGGTGGATAAAAATCTGCTAAATTGAATTTATTAAGCAAAGAATCACAATTAATTAACTACCATTTGAAAATACTTATTCGCTTTCAAGAGCAAGTTGGCATCTGGGTGTATATAAATAAAACTACTTTTGTGTGTTCTATATTATTTTGTGTATTCTTCGTTAATTTCTTCAAACCATTTTAGTAACGATAATAATATTTTAAAAAAAATTTACTCGAATTATTTGTTTCTAATAATCTTGGCTTCGCCGGTCACCTGTGACCCCTGTGGAGGTACGAACAAACTCAGTGCGAGTCACCGGTGATCCCCATGGCCATTCAACCCGTCAATTAATATGTAGTAATAGTTTTCGTCAGTATATGTTGAATGAGGGAAAGATTAAAACGAAATATTCTTACTACCAGTTTTTAATTTTTTCCAGATAAGTTGTTGACTTTCTCAATTTAGATAATATACTAAAGCAAAGAAAATTCTGATGAAATAATTACTTTTATTCCTGATTCTTTCTGATTAGTTTGCAACCCAGTTAACTCTGTTTTTAAAATTCGAGGACCCATTTCTGGCGACTCAGATACCAGAACTGTCCACAGAATGAAAGTCACGACTCCCAGTATACCTAAAATTGAAAACAAAAATCAATAATTAAAAAGAAAACCAGTAAATTCAGGGAAAACAAAATAGTTTTAAAGTAATTTGTAAAGCTGAAGTTAAAATCAGTCCTTAATACATTGGGGAAGAAAATATTTGTTGTACTTATGCCAATACTTGTTCTTACCTAATTCGGGAGTAAATTCTTCAAATTTAAAATTAATTTTGTTTGGAAAATGACAGCTTTTTTTTTACAGATTGATATTTTTAGATTACTCAATTTTTTGTTCAAACGAAGAAGCTTATGAAGAATGTATAGGTTTATACATACCTGCCAACTTTTAACCCCTTCCATTATCATTTTTCCCAGTGGTATTAAAATGGAATTAAAACTTCAATTTTAAGCAAACAAATACGTTGTACAGTAGAGAACCGATTATCCGGAACGATCGGGACTATCGCTATTCCGGATAACTGATTTTTCCGGTTTTCTGAATCGCTACAAAAAACCGTTATTTTAGTGTGAAACCCAACTAAAAAATGAAAAATATTTGGAAATGATCTTAAAAATAAGAAAAAACGATGAGGTAATACACTAATGATTATTTCTGAAATGATGGTAAGGTAAACATCTTTCGAAAAAGAAAGAAAAATCCTAAAATCTTATGAGTAAAAAAAATTTTTTTTTTTTAAATTGCGGGAAAATTTATCGAATTTCGTTCCGGTTTTTTGGTTTTCTGATTTCCGGATAACGGGTTCTGTACTGTATTTGAGAAAACTTAAGTTGACTACCATGATAGTAACGCATATTAATATATGTGCTTAATTTTTGTAAGAATAGTGGAGATCAATATCATTTAAAAATTAAGATTATAAAAGAAAAAATAGTATATAATTACTACCACTTTAAATATGAAAATAAAATCTTAAAAGAAAATCCGGAAGAGTTGGCAGGTATGGTTTATATATGTTACCGTGAATGAGCGAAATCTAGAGAAGTCTACTTTCACCGGTGAATGTCAACAATCGCATAGGATAGATGTGGCACTTGACCTTAAAATGACATTGATGTAGGGCATACCGGGCAAATGTATCCCTGGCAGTGGCACTTAACTAGACCTAGTATATATTTCGGACATTTACCAAAGCGACTATGTGATTGTCAGCATTCACTGGTTGAAGTCAACAACCACCGATTTCGGTCATTCACAGTAACATAAACATACAATATTTACGTGTCTGAAAATAATACTTAAGACAAAAGACTTATGACTTTAATCTATCGCATGATAAACTTTAATATATTATACGATTTTTTCTACCACTCCCTGCCTAGCAGATAAGTAGAGACACTTTACTATACACTTAGATCTTGGTTAAAAATATATTCTAAAATTGTAAAAACACTACAGCTTGAAAGCAGAAAACTGATTGCAGAAAGATTATTGCTTGAAAATGAGTGGTATTTGGAAAAATTTACCTTTAACACAGAAAAACACGACGGTATTTCACAACCATAAATTATTAAACTGCTAAAGATAATATTTTCACTCCTTTTTAGCTAAATTAATATAAAATAATGAAAGAGCAAGCTTAATAAAAATTTTGTGTCAAAGGGTTATAAACCAAGCATCAAGCTGTAAAAAAATATTTTATGAAATTTTTTCTTTTGAAGTCCCGAGCGATTATTTTTTTATTATAATTTTCTCTTCTGAATTTCCCATTTAAATTTTTTTCTATTTTATCTCTGAAAGATCATTTGTTATATTTCAAATTTACAATATTCTTTTTGCTTTATTAAAGTTTTTTTTTAAACATTTAACATACTTTATGGAAAAACACTTGATGTTTCATATGATGCCTTGAATTTTCATTTGATTCCTATTAGAGAATTTCAGAAATAATTTTATTTCTAAATAAGCAACAAAAAACGCTTATAACTAATTAGAATTTTGTCTTAAAAAAATTCCCAACCGTGATAAAACACATTAAAGTCTACTTTATGCACATAGTTTAAAAAAAATAAACTTTCGATTTTTACGCACTTTTATACTGCAACCCTTTGCGACGTACAAAAATTTTGATCAAAATTTTAGCCAGGAAGGAGTATAGAAATGCAGTCCTTGTACAGGGATTCCACGGGCGACTATAAATGTAAGAAGTGGTAGAGACTATCAATTCATATAATCTATTTCATAATGAAAGCAACCACTATGAATAGCATAACAAATTATTCATGTTTTAAGCAATGGCATTCTTTGCATTATCTTTCAGTAGTAAAGTGAAAGAAATATAATAGAAAAATTGCTAATTTTAATTTTTAATAAAAGATTTTTCCTGTTTATTAGTCACCACTTTTAACTTTTTTAGCCACTTGCGGCATCCCAGTTGTATGAACTTTCAGCATTAAGCTATCTTTTCCCCTATATTTCACAAAATATAACATCATTGGTAAAAACACAATGTTTATGATATGGTGAATTTTTTTACATTTTTAGTAGTTATATATTGGTTAAAAATAAGTGGATTCATTGTTAAACCACCGTGTAACAAAGAGGTTAAAAGTGACATATTTTGTGCATTACATTAAAATCAACCTCTTATTGTTTTGTTTTATTTTATAACCGGCCCTGAAGAACCGACCCCATTCTAAATTTTTATCTCCGTAGTTTTGTAATTTTGAACCCAGTCCAGAATGTACGGGAACTTCTGTCTCAAGCACTGAAAGAAAAAAAGCTTTGAGGAGGGCTTTTTGATAGAACTAACTGTGAATCGCGTTACATGGTTGGGAAAACCTCGCATATTTATCTTGTTATGGGTTCTAATCCATGATCCGTCTACCACTGAGAATATTTCACGTCATCACTTTGGGGTCTGGAGAAGAATTCGTATCAACCATGATGATTAACCATCAAGAGCAGTTTTACTCTCATGAACCAACAGGTTCGTGAAGGTTCATGATGGTTTCAACTATATATTTCTCTGATGGTTTAATGGGAATTCTTGTTCCTTTTCAGCAATATACCATCGAAATGTATGTTGGATCCTCATAAATCAGTCCGAATTCCTATATTGGGATGATGGTGGTTCATGATCGTTCCAACATTTGATTTCTAAGATACTATATGATGGAAATTTGTGATGATTCACCATGAACAAACCATCACATTAAGTTGCTATTCTTATGTTGGATCCTCATAAATCAGTCCGAATTCCTACTTTGAGATAATGGTTACTTATGTGGTTTACCATCAAGATTATGTTCGTTCATCAATGGAAGACCATCAAAAATATTCACTTGGGTAAATATCTGGGCTCCTGAACCCTATTCCCATCCATTTTCACCTTGAACTTTGTCGTGTTTCGATGCTGTGCAAATGAAGTAAAGGAATATTCGTGTTGATCATTGAGTTCTGACTGTGCATATATAATAAATATTCAGTAGGGTTATAAGACCAAAATGTTAAAATCTGAGATATAAAACTTCAGATTCGCTTCGGATCTCTATAGAGAAAATAAAATACTTTGGTAGCTACAAATATAATACTATAAATAAATTATTGTAATATTGCTACCGCTTTTTACTAGGAACGTATGAACTCTGTCTGAGCAATTGATGAACGGTAAAACGGTTTAAGTGTTAAGAATAATAAAGCAATGGTCTCACCAAATACATAGAATGCAGATGGCCAACCACCAAGAAATGTGCTATCACACAGCTGTCCTGATACAATAAGAGAGACGACTGTTCCTATAGTGGTGCCTATAGAAATCATGGTTAGAGTACTAGTGCGTTCCATTTCACCTGCCCATCGACCTACTAGGACATTCATAGCTGGATACGTCACACCCTGGATGTAGGGAAAAAAGTTTTGTAGCTCATAAAAAGAGTAAACACACCTAAAATTATGCATGAATAAATTTTTTTTAATAATTATAACGAAAAACATGGAATTTTAAAAAAATGATTAACTAACTGAAAATATAAACACCACTTGAATCGTTTGGAGAAAAATAAAAGGAAAAACTTATCGAAGAAATGTAAAAAAGAGATAGATTTATATTCTTTGGATAGAAATGGTCTTTATTTCTGCTTTTGATAGAAATAAAGATGCACATTTATACGAACGTTAGATGAAAGAAGAAAGTACTTCAATGGTAATTAATGGAAAATGATTGTTCCATTTCTTAACAATTGGCACATTCCGGGAATATTTGGTCCCTATCTTGTTTGACAAACATGTTTAACTCTTTTCTGTGCCGCAAATTTTGACTGTTAATTTTAAGATTGTGGCATTTTAGCAATCGCGACTGTCCAAGTAAACAAGCTCTTACAAAAATTTGAGGTATTTTTGAAGTTTATATGAGGTTGTTCTGAGGTGTCAATGTTGATTTGAGGTTTATTCGTAGTTGATTTCAAAAACTATTCTAAAAGATTAATCTCCCAAATTGTAGATTCAAAGTGTATGAATTTGTTTTATTCACACTTGAGGTTGTTTTGAGGTTGATGGACAGCTACTTTAAAGAAACCACCTTAGGGAGGTAGTTATTGAGGTGTACGGATTATATTTTCTACATATCACGCAAACACGCTTATATGAGGTCATAATAATTTCACCCGATCTGAACTAAAATTATTTGATTTATCTATGCGGTTGAATTTGTGGTTTATTAATGAGGTTATCTTTGATGCAAAACAAAGTCTCATTATCTACCTCAGGTGTATTTTGTTTTTTACATCTGTCAACCTCGAAACAACCTCAGAAATACTTTATTTTTTTTGTAAGGGCATGCACTCGAACTCTGTATTGTTTATTTCTTTTTCTTTTTTTAAATGATCTCTCAAAACTGTGGGCATTTGAAATTCTTGAATTTTTAGGGTTTGAAATAATTTTGGAATTATTATGTTCACAACAACAATCTTGAGGTCTTGACCTGCTCTATTTCGAGTTAGAAAGTATATAGCTGCTTACTAAAGCTTATTCTACAAAGCGATATTTTCTAACGGGTAATTTTGTTTTTAAATGAAGAAATAAATTATGTAATTTCTGATCTCAAATCTGCAGTATTTCATTAGATATTAGTGATATTAAGTAATTTTTGCGAGTTTGACGTGAAATTTTGTTTTAGTTATTAAGAGATTTAGTGTTAAAAAAAGTGACATGGTTGCTAGGGTTAGAAAGAGCTCGCTTTTTTGGCGGTTATAATTTAGTCTCTTTTTACTTGTTAATTACTCGTTCATTATTTTTTCACTTGTTATACTGTGTGTTCTTGGTGCAAGCTATGTACCATCATACGGTAGAGTTAACCTTATGTTCAAGATACAAGATTAAGTTCATTTTACAGCTTTCATTTAATAAATTATGTAATTTCTGATATCAAATCTGTAGTATTTCATAAGATATTAGTGATATTAAGTAATTCTGGTGATTTTGAAGTGAAATTTTGTTTTAGTTATTTATTGATTTATTGTTAAAAAAAGGTAACATGGTTGCTCGGTTTAGAAAGATCTCGCGTTTTTGGTGGTTCTGATTTGGACTCTTTTTACTTGTGTATTACTGTTTGTTCTTGGTGCAAGTCGTGTACCATCATACGTTAGTGTTAACCTTTTGTTCAAGATGCAAGATTAAGTTCATTTTACAACTTATCATTTAAGTTTAAATTTCGAATTTGGTATATTCTTAACAAGGTAAGAAGTGTTTTACAACGATTCTTTTTTCAAGCTGTAATTCCTGAAATAACAAGTCTTCAAATGACGATCTCTTAACGATTCGTCTTTTAAACACAAATAATAAATCAGGTGACAAATATACGTACGTATACAAGAAATACTACTCAAGAGAGTTTCAAAACACAATGATCACCTTGTGAGCCAAATGGTTTCAAAACACACCAAAAACAGTAACCCGAAAGCATTTAACCTACCTTTACATTTACAGTTTGTAAAGAGAGATTTTGAGAAACATTTTTATTTGTATATAAATAGAATTAACATATTCTTTTTATATACAAATAATATTTATATGCAATTCTATTTATATACAATTCCAAAACAAAGCAAACAAACCTTAAGAAGTAAGCAAAGAATTTTTTTAAGGAATACCAATATTAAATTGCAAGAAATATTTATAAATTTTTGGAGCACATCTTGTTTTTAAATTTCAAAATGAAATTTACGATACGTGCAAGCTGAACAAAAATTTCTAATAAAAACCTTGCAATTTAGATCCATTGCGTGAGAATCTTTGTCCGTCATGTTTCGTAGTTCTAGAACTCCATTCCGTATTGTCAGTTCCCTAAATGCCTTTGCCCTCTTGCTGCAATCTTCTAAACTTAGAACATTGCTTCTAAGAGTAAAAATGTTAGATGAAATAGTTCCTATTTCATTTTTAAATAAAGAAGGCAGATTCTCATTCGAAAAAACTGACATTTCCAGTTTGAAAAAGAAAAGCTTTGGAACGGAGATCTCTCTATGTTTAAAATATCAAGCATAGCAGAATGAAATATAGCCATTCAAGACTTAGCCGAGAAATCCAATCAGCGCTCTCCAAATCTCTTTTTAGAAACTGTAGGTGTAAAATTAGGTTGCATGCAACCCGGAAGTATAGGCAGTCAAGAGCTTTCAGCGCTTCCTATTGCAGATAACAACATTCATGTGTAGAAATGTATTTTTCTTTAGAAAATAATAGTTTATTATACCTCGCCAAGGCCTTCGATAGTCCTGGCCGCAACCAAAGCCCAGACGCTCCAATTAGCAGCTAATGGTGTGAGTAAGGTGAATATGGCTGTGACGAGTATTCCCATTCCATATAGTGCTTTGGCGCTGTATTTTTCTGCCATGATGCCACCAGGAATTTGAGTCAGGAAATAACCATAGTAAAATGATCCTAAAACTAGATGCTGCGTTTGAGAGTCCCAGTCGAAACCTCCCCTTGACTGAAAAAAAATCAAAAATCATTTTTGCTATAAAGGATAGTTATAATGAAAGTTATTCTATTGCGTTGTTTCTAATGGAAATTGCGAATATCAACAAGCTTGTTTGGTTTAACCATGTAAATTTAAGGAAGAAGGTGCGTTTCTTGTTTTTTAGTGGCACAAAGAATACGACTTCAGCTGATCGTAATTTTGATCTGATCCAGAGAACGATCTGTCTGGTATAATTTGTTATGGGGACATGGAGAACTTTGCGACACGACAGATTTAACATGCATCAGCTAACATTTATTTACTACACGGGGAGACTTCAGCAGGCGGGGATCTAACTGACGAGCTCACTTTCACATGGGCCCAATGCCCATCCGACCAGGCTATTCCTGCCTGTTATTCAATTCAAACCATGAAAGTGCTCGTTCTGGATAGGTTGTGTTGACGGATTGGTAAATACGTTATATGAACAGTGGGAAAAGCAGATCAAATTCCAACCAATAAATGAAAGTTTTCAAGCACGAAAAAGGAACTTAATACTAGTGGTAAAATAACAATACCCACTGCCGAAATTTTTTCCTGACCCTTGCTATTATCTACAGAACTGGAAAAGATTCTGAAAAAATTCGAAAAGACTGGAAGAGACGAATAGTTTATTACCACTTCAATATTTGGTTGATTTGAAGTCAAAATGCGGGACTTTTTTCAAAAAAAAAAAATTAAACTGAAATGAATCAAGTTAGTATAGCGGTCCAAGTCATAATCCTTTATCAATATTAGGTGATCATTGTGATCTAAATTTAAAACAGAACTGATACTGCAAATTAATTACGTCTAGGGTGGTGAAAGCGAATTGAGATGTAAAAGAAGAAAAGCAAATAATGAAATAATTTCATTTATAGCTAGTTTTTAGGAGGAGTGAAATAATTAGTTTTTTTTTTAAAACTATGTAACATTATATACTTTTTCTACGATAGGAGATCTCGCCACATGGGCACAGAACGCCATTAACCAACTCATCGGATCTAGATTGACCTATGATGAGAGGTCATTAACATATAAAACTTTAATCCACCGACAATTTTCTACGTAAAAAGCCGTATTTATCTTGCTGTCTTCTCCGCATAGCAAAACTGTTTTTTCATGTCATTAGATAGGGAACTAGTGTATAGGGGACAAACATTCTAGAAATTTCTTCCATTGATAAACCACCAGTGGGTTAAACTGTAGGTAAAAGGGGTAGGGGAAATATCTCCACTGTTAAATAATGTATACAGTGAATAACCGAATTAAAGATAATGTCGACTTTCGCCGGTGAATGTCAACAATCATATACTAGCTTTGGTGAATGTCTTAAATATTTGTAATATCCGATTGGATTTTAATTTATTCGTTGATATTATAATATTTATTCGATATTTTAATATCTGCTGAGGATAGATTAGGAGAAACATCAGTTTTCGAAGTACCGGTAAAATGCATGCTGGACAGTGGCACTTGACCTTAAAAAGCATTGATATAGGGCTTACCGGGCAAATGTATACCAGGCAGTGGCACTGTAGTAACAAAGCAGTTTAACGTATATGGGTGATTCTCACGAAACATGACAATTCACTGTCCCTTGCTCCAAGATCTAATACCATAATACTAAAAGAACTTTTTAAAAAAAAAAATTAATAAATAGCATTGCTGTTAGCATTTTAAAATGACTTTGCACTAGCATTTACTGTTTTGAATACTTAAAATATTTCATTGAATATCAAAATATCATTTTCCTGGCATGTCCCAAACAATATATCCCATAATAACTAGCTTCAAACTTCCCATGCATTTCTCAAAATCTAATTTTTTTTATCTCAACCTATGTAAGCATTACTAGAATATACGCAGAGGGTATTATTTACTAAAACTTTGTTTAAAAAAATTTTTTCTGTTAATAATTTGCTAGTCCCATGAAAATCTGTCATTTTCCTGGCTACTTTTATTTAGTGATTTATAACCAAAATAGATAGCGCCAGCAATCTATATCTTATGCTAATAGATTTATTAGAAACCCTTCTATCTGAACATGTCTTGTTGAATGAATAAAGAACCAATTTTCTGTCTCAAAATCTATTTCAAAAATTTTTTCAAGGAGAGTAGGTTTTTATGTTGTCATTTTCCTGGCTTCCTGAAATCATTAATAACATAAACTACATAGATTTATCTGAGTTATTTTAAGAAATCCTGTTGTTTTCTGCAGAATATAAACGTCTTTGGCCAAAGTATTAAATTAAAGCTATAAAATGGCAAATTTGTCATTATCCTGGCAGTCATTTTCCTGGCTTATGAATGCCAGGACATTGAAGTGTTACCAGAAATTCTTTTTAACTGCTAATACTGTAAAAAGGAAAAGCAAATATTAACCTAATACCAAGTTTATGTATGATTGTAATATGCTTGGATGTAATCAAAGTATTTTATTTATTTAATGATTGATTATTATACACAATTTTATTGTGTACATATCAGCAACAAAATTTTTTTTGTTTCTTTCTACAGTGGATAAAAAGAATTAATTTAAGCAATTTATGGTCCATCTAACATAAAGGCTTAGGCTGAGTTACTTACTATTAATTTAGAATGACTGTTTTTTAAACTTCAAAGGTAACATGTCATTTTCCTGGCAGTCAAGATTTGGTGAATTTCCATTTTATTTCTTTTCTCGAGCACATGTCAATAAACTACACTGCTGTCTGTAAGATATTAATAAGTGTAGCCAAAGAAGTATACAAAAAAAATGTACATTATTTCGAAGATTGTAAATTTGAAGACATTTTTTGGTTTGAATTGTCATGTTTCGTGAGAATCACCCATATATTGTAATTGCAAATGAAAATATTGGTAATTACAAAAATTTTAATTTTTTTTCCGTTTTTGCTCTTTTCCGTCTTGATATATATATAAGCTAAGATAACCAACACATATGAGAATATGAGAAAACGCTTAAAAGCTACCATAATGTTGCTTAAATCAAAATGTTTTTAAATCATTGTATACAATTATTTCATGACGTATGGGTTAGAGGTCTCTGAGCGGCCTAGGCACCCAATTTTTGCTAAATAAAGAAAGAGAGCCTGACAACGCTTAGAATATTCAAGAACTAACGGTACCTGTAAGAAGTTTTAGTTTATGTTCCGATGGGGGAGATATTTCTATTCGATTTAAACAACTAGTTCGTTAGTTCAAAATGATTAATGAACTTTTTCCCCTTTATTTACTGAGAATTATCCAGAAATCTGAAGCATGAAAAGATAATATTAACTCACCGCAGGTGAAATGAAATGAACTGTGCTATTGTGAGATTTAATGTCTTTAATAAGATCTAAGCACGCTACAGAGCTTTGAGCAGATGCGATGTCATCAGAGACTAAAGGATCCTTCACCATGGCAACCAAAGCGACACTTAAATTCACCCTCATGGCATACAGGTTGAAGAAGCCCAAGAAACCCATCACTATGAACACATATCGTCGAAGGGTTCCTGAAATAACGATAATATATCATAATTATATCAATTCACTTCAATTATTAACACGTTGAACGCCACGCTAATTACACGTGGCTTGCCCATCTGGCAAAACGATAAATATGTACAAACTAAATTGCAATTATTAGACATAAATTGTTAGTTTGTAAAGGGTTTTATTTAACATTGTTAATAAAAAAGGTTGAATTATATAAACTTACGAATTTTTTAGAAATAGTGGTGAACAAAAATTTACTAACTTGAATTTATTAAACCAAGAATCACAATTAGGTGACCCCCATGGCATTCAACATGTTAAAATGTTATTAGGACAGATAGTTACAACTTCAGGGGTGCTAACATTGTTGTCGAAGCATTGAAGAACGGAACCAACTATTGTAGCATTTTATAACACGTTAATTATTTATCTAACTTCAGAAAAAATGAGCTCTATGTTTTAATTTCACGGTCATACTAACGAGAAAAACAGAGCCTCTTGTTAGCTACTGGTAATAATGTCATGTTATCAAGATTATTTCGAAACAAGATCAAAGAAGATTGAACAAGTCAGAGTTTGTAAAGTACGTCAGTGCTTACTGGGTTTTCAAGTCGTTAGCAAAAAATGTGTATTGTTTTACTGCCGAAAAAGAAAAGATTATTTCGAAAGTATGAAACAATGCTTTTTTGCAAATAATATGCTATTTTTATAACTGTTGTGAGTTTGCAACTGTTACTCATGGTCAAGTTAAGCCTATCAAAAGACTACGCTTATTTTAAAAATGATGCAAAACGTCAATCTGGAGAAAAGCCACAGGTTTGTAAAAATGAAAAGCCTTTGTGGTCTAATTTTTTAATATTTAAAAACTTACTCCACGGCTGCAATACCTGGGGTTATAAAAATTTGTAAAAACTGTGATTTTGATAATTTTCACCTACGTGGAAAATACCCCCTAATTGACGATTTTTGAAAATGCTTAATAACTTTGGAAAAATTTAAGTTATTTATCTGTTCTAAAGCCCAGATAATTTTGGACTGCAAGGTTATATATATATATATATAGTTTAAAATCATCGCATTTCTTCAAGAGTAAGCACTTAAAATGTGGCTTTTTTTTTTATCTTCTTTGGCAACAGAGCTTCGAAAAACAGCGTTAAGTATATTCAACGGGAATATTTATAACAGTAGAAAGTCGCCAAGTTTAGTGATAAAAAACATTATTTGACAAAGGCATTAGAGAATGATGTAAACAGGCTATCGTAGTCTTGGTAATGCTTAATGTTTCCCTCTAGCATAGATCGAGACTGAAAATATTTGATTTATGTTTAGTGCGAGTTCATCTTGTGCAAGGCTTCTGTTGTCCAGCAAAAACATTCACGTTAACCGAATCATTAGCATACCTGCCAACTTTCAATCCTTTCAAGCACGATATTGACCAGTGGTAGTCAAATGAATTATAAATTGCATTTATAGGTAGAAAAGCACTTTGTATATTGAACATGATTATAGTCTTCAACATACTAACTAACTAATCAACTTTTTTCAGAGTACCTATCCATGTATGGATATCTGCTCTTTCATCTAAATTGGATAATATGTGGTGGAAGGGAAGGGAGGTGCTGCGTTAACATTAAGTTAAATCTCAGAATGAACAATAGTTGCTAAAATCAAGTCTGAGTCATACATAAAAATAAGTCGCAAGTTGATACATAATAAAAGGAACAAATTGAAGATAAAGATAAAGAAAGAATATTTACACTATTTACAAATTAGTCTTCAACATCAGTGTTACATATTGATATATATGTTTATTTTTTTTAAAAGTAGTGGTGGATTAAAAAAGATTATAAATTAAGATTACAAATGCAAGGATTATATAGAAAGCATAAAATTTACTACCACTTCAATTATAGAAATAAAAATTTCCTCCGAATGCGTAAAAGTTGGCAGACATGCATTAGGAATTTCCTCGATTTAGTCATAACTTTTCAACGCCACTTTCACATTTTAAATAAATCTGGGGCAATTTTCAATGGAAAATTTGATAAAGTAAGCTAACAATTTTCACTCCGTTTTACTAAAGTTATAAATTTTATCAATCGCGACAACAAGCTTATTCGGTATACAATTGTTATCACACTGGAATTAAAAACTCAAGCCAACGAATGTTAGCTTTTTTTTAAAGACGAGATTCACCCGAGCCACCAATTACTTAATCCAAAAGAAATTATTGAATTATTATGTACGATTAAATATAAAAAGTGGTAAATTAGTTTTTTCATTTTAGCAAATTTCAAAGTTCATGAAAAATAGTGTTGGAAACCACAGATATTTAAGGGAACTTCCAAGATATTTAACGGATAAAATAATTATTAACCCGTTTTATCCCGAATTTATATTCTGAAATGATACAAAAAGTGGTTTTATGAAAAAAGTGGTATAATATATTATCGAAATTAATTGGTTTTTCTACTGTTAGGGCATTCAAAAAGTTATTGATAGATCAAAAAGTACTTACTCCTTACATACCTGCCAACTTTTTATCCCTTCCATTATCATTTTTCCCAGTGGTATTAAAATGGAATTAAAACTTCAATTTTAAGCAAACAAATACATTGTATTTGAGAAAACTTAAGATGACAACCATGATAGTAACGCATATTAATATATGTGCTTAATTTTTGTAATAAATAATGGTGATCAAAATCATTTAAAAATTAAGTTTATAAAAGAAAAAATAGTATATATTTACTACCACTTTAAATATGAAAATAAAATCTTCCGGAAGAGTTGGTAGGTATGTCCTTATAATTCTAGATCTAATCAGAAATAACTAAATCATTGTGGTATCTGAGAATCTTTTAATGTACCCAGATAAATGAATGTCTTTGAAAATAGGAACTGTCCTATATATATGACGCTGGGCGTTAACCGGGTAAAACATTTTTTGAATAAGCTAAGTAACATTTCAGTATCATACATTTAAACTCTTCCGGATTTTCCGGAAAATTTTATTTTCATATTTAAAGTGGTAGTAAATATATACTATTTTTTCTTTTATAAACTTAATTTTTAAATGATTTTGATCACCACTATTCTTACAAAAATAAAGCCCATATATTAATTTGCGTTACTATCATGGTTGTCAACCTAGTTTTCTCAAATACAACGTATTTGTTTGCTTAAAATCGAAGTTTTAATTCCATTTTAATAACACTGGGAAAAATGATAATGGAGGGGATTAAAAGTTGGCAGGTACGTAGTATTTTTAATTCACCATTACTTTGTTCAAAATCAAACTATTTAGTAATAATTAAAGTAAAAGCAAGAAAGTCTGTCAAATTAGAAACGACTACATTTAAGTAACCGTTTTTTATTTAATTACGTCCTGATCCTGATTTTGCACGAATGCTTTTCTGAATCACCCGTCCACAAGGGGTTAATGGTTGTTTCTTTACCTGGCTTAGAAAAAGACAAACAAGAATGGAAAAATTAAAATTTCGGTTAAGATTCTTAACATTTTTGATCAGTCCTTTTAAGTTTTTTTAACTAAGAAAATTAGATATATTGCATTTAATTATTTTCACAACAAATATAAATGTTGTGTTAAGTGTTGTTTTAGTAATCTATCTATACTGATCTATGATTTTTTTAACGTTTTATCTATTTTTTACCTCTTACTTTGTTTTCTTTGTATTTTTCTTAATGTATTAACTTAATTTATTAATGCATTAACTTAATTGTATTTTTCTTAAGCTATTATTAACTTTACCATGCATAGTTGGTAAGCACTCATTGTTGTAGAATTGGCGAAAAAGCAAATGATTTCGTGATTTCGATACTGCGACCATCAAAAAAATTTTTTTTTTCATTTGTGAGGTATGGATAATGATTAGAGTTTCCTGATTAGGTGTAATACCGTGACTCCTAGCTCCACAAAATTTATATATATATGTATATATATATATTTTAAGCACAAGCGCCGGTACCATATATAGTATAATTAAACATAAAAGTATGCAATAAATATATGCTGAGTAATTATTAATATATGAAAATTTTTCATACATTTTTTCTATTTTAGATATTAATATATATTTAAAGTCACTTACTTGAGCGATTTGATGAATTTGGCAATGACTCATCCTTTATCGCAAGGTCCAATTTTGAGTCATTAAGAACATTTTCACAAATGTTATATCTATTCGTTCTTGGTGAAGGTGGCATAATATCAGCCGCTGTGTCAGTCATAATAATTGACTGATATGATTTTTATGAAACTGAATCAAATAGTTTTTGGAAATCTTCAATTCACAACCGCAATCTTCAATTCTTTTGTATAAATTTTACTAGCTTTGGTGAGCATTTTGACGAAACATTTTAAAGTGAACGATATCTTAAAAAGAGCACGACGATTATCACATTTTCAACACAACGCAAAAAACCGGAGCTGAATATTTCGTCATTTGTTTTAAAATACGTTTTTGAGGATCTTATCTTTTTGTTTTCGCCATAATGACGAAACATAAAAAAATCAATGTGGAATGCAGAGAAAAGCTATCGAACGAAATTATGAAGCGTGAAGCGCAATTAAAGTATAAAAATAGTTCATCGGTAGTTGTTTTTAATAAAATAGTTCCACACCAGCTTTAAATTCCAACAAACACATTATATTTAAACATCCGCAGACGATTTCTTATACCTGAACGATTCGAGTAACTTTAACGACTCTGTTTAAACCGCTTGCATTTATTATTATTGCTGTTTTGATTTCGCAATTGTTTTCGATTTACGTCATTATTTGCAGCTTTCGTTGGAGGTTTTAAAAAAAATGAGACTCAGGCACGAGTCTTTATAAAACGAAAGCTCTTATAATTGTGATTGTCACTTTTTCATTTCCTTTGCCCACTTAGTTGTTCCAACGAATTCATTTGAGTTCATGAACTCTAATATTAATTTCGTTTCACTCAATCTACTCTTATTAAAGTTTCTAAGAAGTCTCAGAAGTTAGAAAGAAATTGTGAAACGTTTTAACTTATAATTCAGACATAGCTTATGTTACTCGAGTCCTTATCTTTCAGTCTGCACTGTCTTAGAGTTTTATCTTGTTATATTGAATGGTATGTAGTATACGATCTCGTAAATAATGTAAGAAAAGAGAAGGAAAAGATTCATATCTTTTAAGTTTGCGCATAATAAATTTCACTACCTGCCTTGCAATGAGATATAAATTTATTATAAATTAAATTACTCCTATTGTTCAAATTATGAACTTTGTAATATAAAATTAAAAAAAATATTCTTGTGATACCTGAAAATATATTAAATCGCTGTTGCTATGATCATAATATTTTTTTAAATGGGAATGTTATTTATATTTACCATACAAGTTTTTAAGATGCTAAATTTCGCATCTCCACATCATTGAAGAAAATTTTATTCTCATATATATATA